TGTGTGTGTGTGTGTGTGTGTGTGTGTGTGTGTGTGTGTGTGTGTGTGGTGGCCCAGCACCTGCTTGTGTCTGTTAACTTCTTTCAAGCTCCCAGTCCAATCGCAGTGTGCATTGGGCCCACTCCCCTGGGAGCCTGAGAACAAGGCAGGAGCAGGGGTGTGATAGGATGAGCCGCCCTGCAGGGCAGCCGCTGCAAAGCTGGCTGTGGGGAGAGACGGCTGTGGGCGCGGGAGCCTGCTGGAGCCAGGCCAGGAGGAACAGAGAGGCCGAGACTCCAGAGTGGCTAAGTCCATTTGCACCCTCCTACCACTGCAGGGACTCATGGAGGGAGCCGCACAGGTGAGGCTTCAAGAGAGGCATGGGTGGGCTGCCCGTGTGAGCGGCTTCTGGGTCAGGATAGAGGATGGGCTCCTGGGAGAGGGGATAGTGGGCTAGCAGTTGAAGCAAGGGAGCAGCAGGAAGGGTTTGGAATCCGTGCCCTGGGCTGGAGACACAGTGTGGCTTAGGGACCCTGCAGTCACCACTAAAGCCCCTCTCCCACACGCCGCCCTGCCCCCGGTGGGGAAGCAGGCCGCTTGCCTGGCTGGTGCTTTACAGTGTGTAGGGGCCTGAGCCCTGTGGGAAGCTGGGGGTGCCTTTTGGCCTTTATCCTCCCTCTGTTTTGAGCTTCTTCCCACTCTTCTCGTCTCACACTTCCTCTGTGCCCTCCTGGGCCCATCTTCCCTCCCACCTCTTCTGAGCCCTCCTCTTCCCCTCTCCAGCCCCCCCCCCCTTTTTTTTTATTTTGGTCTGAAGAACAAAGGCAGTTCAGGCTGCCAAGGGGAATGAGTTCAAAGAAACTGCAATTTTAGATTTCCTGAGAACTAGCGAGCCTGCGAGGGCAGTGCGCATGGGCATATTGGCGAGGACATGCGTGCGTGCCCGCACACATGGCAAGCTTGGTGTTGGGGTTCCTTACTAGCGAGGCTCTTAGAACTGGGAACGTGTAGAGAACCGTGTTGAGAGTTGGAGGATTTGAGTGCCCAAAGGACATTGTTAGTCGTCCCTCATCTCTTCCGCCCTGGGGAGAGGGCAGCATAAGCTTTTTGGCTCCTGTACTGCCAGTGTGGTGGTCCAACTGGTCACTCTTAGACACCTTTTCAAATCTTGGAGGTGTTGGGGTATACAGCTTACTCTGGGACCTACTCCTGTACCCCAGCATCCACTGGAAGGAAACATTTGGTGTTTTGCAATCAGGAAAATAAGCCCAGTGCCCCCCATGCCTCTCCTCCCCCAAGGCCTTAATTTGAAACACTGTTTTCCTGGGAAGGGTAATTAGACCAGCATGTTGTTCCTAATGAGCTGGGTGGGGCCGACAGACAATGAAGCCTCCTGCTGCCTGGCTGCCCCCTGCCTGCAGCTCCCCAAGGAACCAGGATGTGTCCCCCTCGGGTGAGGTGAGGGTCTGAGGGCTACTGAGGACAGGGCAGTCCCGTTGGCTGCGTGGCAACACCTGCACTGGAAAGGAACACCTGTCTAGCGTGATGCCACCTGGGACGGGGAGCATATCTGGGGCTGTCTGTGCTGAACTGGCCGTGGGGACATATGGACTAGGAAGAAAGGAGGGTGGCTTCTGGTAAGGGAGACCCTCAGTTGTTCCTGGAGATCTGGGTCTGAGCTGCCCGCCTGTGAGCCTCACTGGTAGGGGTCTCAGTTTTGCTCTGTATTCAGGGCAGGCCCAGGAGTTGGGTTAATATGGCTCTCTCTGACCAAGCTTAGAATGGCTTGTTTATCGGCTTGTCCTTGGGGCCTGGACGCCTCAGTCCCTGTCAGCTGTGAGACAGCCACTCAGGCACTTTGGTTACCTCTGCAGTCTGCCGCCTTCCTTCCTGGTGGTGCAGATAAGGGCCACAAAACCCATACTGTCCTGGAAAGACAGCTTTGGGCCCCCTAGGTGGGCTGGACTAGAAGGAAATTGAGGCTTAGGAGTTGGCAATATGACTCAGGCTCATTTTTACCTCTTGAGTGAGATGAACAGAAGACATTTAGGTTCATTGGAACTATGTGATATAGGGGTGTGTGTGTGTGTGTGTGTGTGTATGAGGTGTGTGCTTGTGTGTGTTACAGGAATCATTCAGGTTTAATAGATGATACAGGGCAGAGCTATAAGAAGTTTCTGGAGTATTTGGAGAAATTAGGGGAGAGCTTGAGTTAGGCCCTGAAAACTGTGCCAGGTTCTAGAAGGTAGTGAAGGAGACTGTGCCAGCAGTGAGCGGGCACAGCTAGCAAGGGCTCAGAGAGGAGGGTGATGACAGCAGAGCAAGTGGCAGTGTAGGCAAGGGGAGCCACTTCTCAACCTCTTCTGTCCCCCCTTAATCCATCCCTCACGCCAGTTATCTTTTCACAGTCATTGCTTATCAATTCAGAGTTGCTGGTTAGCTAGGAACAGAGAAATGGCACAGGGTAATCAATGTGTCTTTCAGGATTAAGATCAGGGGTGGACAGAGGGTAGGGGCCATGGAGACATTGGAGCACAATACCTTAGCACAGCTAGAAAGATTTAAAATGACATAGAGTCCAAGCAGGAAGTGGCCAGAAGAAGAGGGACAGACTGTATTCCAGACAGATGGATAGTGAGTGCTGAGTCTCAAGGTTAAAGAGAACACAGCACCTCCATTTAAGAAGGGCAATATTCCAGAGGTGGCTAGTCACCCTTTGGGAATCCTGAAGGGAAAGTCCTGTGGTGAGAGAAGTCAGCAGAAGTTGGAAGACGAGGGGTTTGGAGGTCTCATTAGGCTTTGCAAGTATCTTGAGGGCAGGGTGACTTGAGCAACACATCCTAACTGCATGTCCACAGAGGGTCATGGGCTTTGTTAGCTGAGGATGTATGTAAAACCAGAAGCAAGGAGACCACAGAGTGGGTCACTGGATGTCTGGACAGGAGAAAGAAAACAGGTAGATGGGAAGGAGTGAAGGAGAGATAGGGAGAGGAGGAGGGTGAGGGGTAGCAAGAGAGATCCAGAGAGCACACAGGATAGAGATTTAGGGAAAGAGTCACCAATGCTTGGTGACCAGTTAGGCAGGAAGGACAGACTAAGGGTGGCACTGGTTGTCTTGCTGGATGTTGGGGGCCATGTATGAGATGACATTTGAAGGGAGCAGGTTCTGGGGGATGGACAAAAAATGAAGTGTTAGAAGCCGTTAGGAGGCTTGGATGAACTGAGTGAAAAGATGCTAGGAATGTGGCTATGGGTGTAGGAGGACACAGCAACAGAAGACCTACTTGGCAAAGAAGATTGGCCCTGCAGGGCTGAGTGAGGAAGGGGCGAAGGTCAAATGGGAGGCTCATCCTTGAGAGGAAGAGGGAACTGAGTAGGTGGCTTTGGAAGAGACAGAGTTCAGCTGGAGAGTGCTGACAAGGGAAGGGAGAGGTGAGAATCTGCGAGTGACCTTGGGCTGAGTGACGGCTGACTTGGGAGAGAAGTTTCCAGGGAAGAGGTGCTAGAGCAAAGGCAGAGTCTAGAGAGGAGGAGGCAGGGGAGGGGAGTCGGAAACTGTGGATGGAGAGAGAGCCCTGGGTGGAAACAGATATGGAAGGGTGGGGTGAAATAGAGTTGGGACCCGGGGATGCTAAGGACCTGGGTACACAGCTCTGTATGCACGACACAGCCTTGGACTGGAGGACAGGACCGTGGTGTGTCCTGCAGGCAGAGCAGAGAGGGCCATCAAGAGAGGGATCCTGAGGAACTGTAGCCAAATGGCACAGGGCTGGAATGATGTGGGAGGCCTGGGGACAGCATGGTGGACAGAGACAGTGTTGGGATGAGAGTGGTCTCTAACCTTGTCTCTGCTTCTCTCCCTCATGCATCCTCCTGGCTGGCTGCACAGCTGTGTACCCCTGCCTTCTACCTGCAAGGCCTCCTCCTGACGGTACTATGCCAGCACTCATCCGCTCAGCCGTCCTTGCCTCCATTCTACTTGGGGAGTGGGCTCCAATTGTGGGGAGTCTGGCTCTCAGGCCTTAGAGGATGTTATCACCACAGTGCTCGGAGGGTGGGGGAGCTAGAAGGGAAGGTGGCGCATAAGCCACAGCTAGCTGGTGGTTTTCTTTGGTGATTATCAAAGAAATGGATGGCTGCATGAGGAAGATTGTCCTGCCTCCTCACTTGGCAAAGCTTGGAGCCCAATACTTCCTGTTCCCTACCCCCCTACCTTTTGGGTTTGGTCCCACAGTGGGCTGGGCGTCAGCCATAAGAGGCTACAGAATATGCCACAGTAAGTTTGGTCCTTAAAATAGCCCACCCACCTGCAGCTCATGGCCAAGGTCATAGTGCAGCCTCTCTGGTGGATGTCCAGGCTCTCTGGGGGGACCCATCCTGGGCTCTGTGGTGGGCACAGCATCCATTCAAATGTGCACGGAGGCAGCTCTGCCTCCCTTTCTATACCGTGTCACCTACTGGGGCTAGGAGCAAACTAGCTGGTTTCTACCACTGTCCTGGTGATTTAAGGATGGTTATAAGGCCAGCATTGTTCTGCGAGATGCTCCTGGCAGTCCAGTACTCCTCAGGTGACCTTTGGAAGAGCAGTCGGAACTCCAGCGCTGAAAGCCATGGTTCCAACAACAACGGCAGCCTAATTACGGTCACAGCGCTTACTAAGTGCTGTCTGGCACCGGCTGCTCCTCTTGCTCTTCTGTCTAACCCTCAGAGTGACTTTGTTCAGCAATTGTTACTGCCTGTCTGTATGGGGACACTGAGTCACTGGTGCTGAGTAATGTGCCCAGGCCCACACAGCTAGGAAGCAACAGAGCTGGTCTTAGCGTCTGGGGCTGTCTGGTCCTGGACCTGAGGTTCTTATCGCCATGGTTCAGGGTGATGTGCCATCGTCAGGGGGTCACTGGGCAGGAGGTAGCTGGAGTTACTGTGAGATTTGATGTAGGCCGGAGAAAAGCTGGTCTTTTCTGTTTCTGTCGCTCTTGTCATCCATGTTAGCAACTGCTTGTTGATACACCGTTCTTTCTGAAATAAGACTGTTGGAGAATAAGCCAGGAGGTCACGATGCTTGTGAAAACACAGCCCGTTTGATAATATTTAATCTTTGCAACATCAAGACTCCATGTATAAATGTGCTGTCTGGGCACCACATGAGGATGTTGTGTCCAAGGAGGGACAGTTTCTAGCACAACCTGGATTTGCATTTGTTCTAAAGTTTCCCACTAGGTGGCAGTGAAGTGTCTTGACCTAATAAGCATAAAATATAGGGAGTCAAAAGTCTTAAGGCCTGTCTTACTCTAATTGCCCTCGTACTGCCAGTGAGCATTTGCCTGTTGCAGACACTCTTGTGGTTGTGTGGCACAGCTTCTCAGCTCTCATGCTAGTGACTGGCTAAAGACTGATGATAGCACACGCACAGAAGATGGGTGACAGAAAGGTGACCTTTTTCACGTTGTGGATGGTAGAGCTGGTGTTCACAGTCAGAGCCACCATGCTGTGAGCTCACACAGCTGAGCTCACACTTCTCTATGGCCCCATCCTGCTTCCCTGTTGTGATTCCTGCCCACTTCTGTTTGGAAGCCCCTAAGCAGGCCAGCGTCTCCACAGCCTCACTGGTCTGTGCCGGCAAGGGAGCCTCCTCTGGAGCGCTGACACTTATATCCCATGTCTCATAAGGACAGTGGCCACATAGCCCTGTATCTCATTTGCCCTCGCTCTGTTTTTCCTGGATTCCTTTGAGCGTGCTCTGCTCTTGTGGAATACAGATGTGACAACAGGATTGGGGGTAGGAGGGTGTCTGGGTGGAAACCAGGGTATGTCTCAGCTGTGTGGGGTGGAAACCAGCATGTGTTTCAGCTGGGAGAGGGGTGCAGGAGAGCCAGGGTGGAGGGGAGTGACTGAGAGACTGAAGTAGATGGGCCAGGCTGGAGCAGGACAGCGTGCATGTTCATGTCCGCATGAGTGCACTCGTATGTGAGCACACGTGTGTGCTGAGGGGGAGACACAGGTGGCTCAGTGGTGTTCTAGAGCCTGTGTTGTGTACGCACCCTGTTCCTGTACAGAACTGTGCCCAGCTGAGGCTGACCCAGTGCCCCATTTCTGTTGCCTGCTTGCCCCCCTCAAGCTCCGTCCTTCTCTGTTCCTGTCTCAGTGAATGCCACTGCTTTCTGCCTGCTTCTTCGTTCTTATCCCACTGCCTTGGCCTTCTCCCCACTGTGGTTTCTTTTCTTGCTTGCTGTCCCCTGCAGACAGAGGACACAGACTTGCCTTACCCACCACCCCAGAGAGAGGCCAACATCTACATGGTTCCCCAGAACATCAAGCCCGCTCTCCAGCGGACAGCCATTGAGGTGAGCCTGGCTGCGGGACAGGGCCTGCCAGCCTGGCCTTTCCGTTTTCTACCTCAGCTTTCCTCAGCTGCTCTCCCCTCCCTCTGTCCCTAGATCCTGGCTTGGGGCCTTCGGAACATGAAGAGCTATCAGATGGCCAGCATCTCTTCCCCTAGTCTCGTGGTGGAGTGCGGTGGCCAGACAGTGCAGTCCTGTGTCATCAGAAACCTTCGGAAGAACCCCAACTTTGATGTCTGCACCCTGTTCATGGAAGTGGTGAGCCTTACCTCCCCGCTCTTCCCTTCCAGAGTCCTGAGGGGGGTGCGATAACCTCATGAGTCCGGCAACCCTGGGGTTCAGCTCCAGCTCCCAGGAGGGCCCAGGAGTGTGTCAGACCTGAGGTCATACCATCTCTACACTCCAGCCTCCAAGGAATACAGGAATTCTCGTCTCACTGAAGCCTTTTGTCCTATGTGCAGCACATGTGGCTGTCTCCCCTCTCGCTTGATTCCGGGTCAGCAGAAGCCTCAGGAGCCCTTAATCTGTTTCCTCTAGGGAAGACTTTCATTACCGGGGGCTCCTTCCTCGGGACCTTCCAGGTCTAACCTTTAGCCGTCCTCCCAGTTTCCCCATCCTGGTTCTGTCTTAGCTTGAGCTCTGCAGAGAAACTTCAACCTCCAGTCCCCAGCATTCCAATTTTTATTCCTCAGTCCCTACCCCCCAGACATTGGGCCCTCAGCCCATCTCAGTCATCAATTCCCTCCTCCTTAGCCCCAAACTTTCAGGCTCTGGCCCTATCCCTTGCCGCCCTAATTCTCAGCTTTTAGCCTCTAGCTCTCCAGACCCTGACCCCCCAAGTCCTCAGTCTTGAAGCCCTTGGGTCTTCAACCATCAACCCCCAGCTCTTGACCTCCATTCATCAGCTCCTAGCTCCTGTCCCCGAGTCCTTGAGTCCCCTACCTCCATTTTCCCAGCCTCTGATCTCGCAGTGCTCTCTGCCCAGTCTCTGAGTCCTTAGCCTTGCCTTCCAGTTCACAGAACTGGTTCCCAATCCTTCCTGTCAATTACCAGATCCTCAGCTATCAGCATTCTAGCCCCCCTCCCCCAGCTTCCATCCTCCACAGCCCCCAAACCTGACCCCCCTCCATTGTGGTCTCAGTCCATGGTCTCTCAACCCCTGTCCTCACTGGCCTTCTAGCTTCTGACCTTTTAGCTTTCAGCTCCACCCACCCCAACCCTACAGTTCTCACCCTAGACTCTGCCCCACCCTCTGTCCCCAGCCCTCTGCTGTTGGCCTTTGACTCCCAATCCCTGGCCTCCTAGTCTTCAGACCTCTAGTCCTTAGGCCCAACCCCTAGCCCTGAGCCCTGAGCCCTTAAGTTTCCCACCTCTCAGCTCTCCAGTTCTCAGCCCAGCCCTCTCCAGCTCCCTGAGCTGCCTGGGCCTAGTGGCCGGTGTAAGTCAAGTCTGAGAAAAGGAAAATGGTTTGCGAGATGAAAGCACGATAGAAATTCCAGGCCCAGTGGCTGTCAACAGGAGCCTTCTCTTGGCTCAGCCAAGACGCCACTGAAGGAGTGCATATAAATTATTTCAAGTTGTATTCAGAGTGCTTTTGGGGTAGGGGAGAGAAGAATCTGGGTCTGCAAGCCAAATCCTGAGTATCCACTTGGGGGGGACTGTCTGTAAGAAATGCTGAGCTGCAGGCCAACTCCCCCTCCCCCCCAGGCAGCTCAGGTTCAGAGAAAACAGACTTGCTCAGACTTCAGGCTGACCTGGGTGTGTTTGCAGGCGAAGCTGTGGGAAAGCCAGCCTTCACACATAGCAGCCAAAGACAGATGGAAAGGTGTGTGGCCTGTGTCCCACTGGCCAGCACTTGGGCTGCTGGCCACCATGTTGGACTTATGGGCTCTTAGGTACTTACTCTCTGTGGGCTCAGAGCCACTCTCTGTTCATTGGTCCTGCCTGTGAGAGCTCTCCCTTACTCCTTCCCCTGAGACTTCCCAGAAGTGCACTGAGACCCTCTTCTCCATTCCCCAGATGTTACCCCGAGAGGACCTCTACTGTCCTCCTATTGTGGTCAAGGTCATTGATAATCGCCAGTTTGGCCGCCGCCCAGTTGTGGGCCAGTGCACCATCCGCTCCCTGGAGAACTTCCTGTGTGACCCATACTCAGCAGAGAGTCCGTCTCCACAAGGTGGCCCAGGTAAAGAGCAAGAAGTGGCCTTTGCTGAGTTCCTCTTCTCAGGTTGGCATGTCCGGAGTGAGTGAATGGGAAGCATGGTTCAGAATAGGGTGGCAGTGGAGGAAGAGCTGGGGCACAGAGGGAAAGGAGTAGGTGGGGAATGTGGGAAGACAGCATCAGGAGAAGGAAGGGCTGGAGGGGGCACCTCTGCCAGGTGTGAGAGCTGGTGAGCCCGAGGGCTCTGGGGACAGTCCCCTGGAGAGGCCCTCATAGGTGTGGGCTTGCTCTGCTGCAGATGATGTTAGCTTGCTGAGCCCTGGGGAAGACGTGCTCATTGACATCGATGACAAGGAGCCTCTCATCCCTGTCCAGGTAGGATAACTGAGATGTCAGCTCTCTCCTGTCCTGCCCCAGTGAGCTGGCCTTAACATCCTTACCCTCCAGACCCTGGTGCCTCAATGCCCTGGTGGGTGGGAGCTTTCATCCTGATTGGAGAAGGGTTGTGTAGTCCTTAGGGTAGAATCTAAACTGTTTTCTGGAAGCATGTGGGGGAAATGGAACATCTGCCTTGTGGCTGCATTGAAGGCTTTCTGTCTGAAATCCCTCAAATGAGAAGGGATCTTCTTTGAGGGAAGATCTGGGATCCCATGCTTGGCAGCCCCTTGGAGGTAGCTTACAGAGCAGGTAACTTTTAGGACTATAGTATGTCTCTCTTATTCCCCCACCTTCAGGACCAGGAGGGGATAATTTGGGAGAGGGCCATTGCAGCCTGCAGGTAGTCAGCTCTCCTCTTGCTAGACACTCTGCAACCCAGGGTCTGCTGGTGACCACATGACATGCTGAGGCGCAGGGCAGGAAGCCTGTGACAGATTGCACCTAAGGGAGCATCGAGCCTGTCTTGAGCTGTGGATGTGCTCTGCATCCCATCCAGTACTTGCCCCAAGAGAGGTGGAACAAGCCCTTGAACTCGCTAAGGCTGTCACCCTCTCTGTGGCTATGCGAGATGTTGCTCACACACCCGAAGCCTTTGATTGCTCCGAGAGCATCGGGCTTCTTGAGGCAGAGCCTCCCAGCCTGTGCGGTGGTACCCTATCCTCAGGCTGCAGTGCATAGATGGGAGGTGGATGGTTGCATCAGTGATGGAGAGGCAGGTGACCCTTAGCAAGTCTCAGTGCTCTTCACCTAGTAAATCTCAGCTTTGCACTTGACCACTGAGATGGCCTCAAGATCTTCAGAGATCAGCTCTGAAGTTTCTCCTGGAGATACCGAGCGCCATTTTCTGCCACTACCTCAATCTCCCATCTTCCTGCACTTCTGTGGGAGCATGTCTAGGGTTTGCTTCTGCAGCCAAGCTGCAGCAGATGCAGGAAGTCTTGCTCTGTGGTTTCCCCGATGTGCAGAAGGTGTCAGAAGCCCCGATCCCTCATGTCTCAGCCTCCAGCACTCACCAGGTCTCTGCCCTGCTATTCCATCTGCCGAGACAACCTTTGCTTCTGTTCTCTTGTTCAGCCTGTTACTTGAGAGTCAACTTGTGATTGGTCACCACTTCTCTGGCAGGATCTTGGCTCCTGCATCAGCTCTAGGCCCTGCATACCTCTCTGGTTCTCAGCATTTTCTCTGGACTAAATTGCAGGACAGCAACCAGGTGCCTTCGTTTTTATGTCTCTAATGTCCAGCACAGGGCCTGGTTTTAAGGAGGTATTCAATGAGAATCTGTCTAGATGGCCAGTGGGTGGATGAACGAATGGATGGATGAATAACTAGGTGTATAGAGAGTAGATAGATAGATGGGTAGATAAATTAATGGATTGATGAGTGGATGGGAGGACAGGTGGGTGGATAGGATGGGTCAGTGGATGGGTTGATAAAAATACGGATGGGTGGATGAGTGGTTGATGAGTGGATGCATGGATAGGTAGGTTCATGGGCGGTAGGTGCTTGGGTGGAGAGGTAGATGGATTGGTGAGCAGATGGTTGGGTGGATGGATAGATAGGTAGAGAGGTAGGTGGGTGAACAGATGGATGGGTAAATGGAAGGGTGGATATATGTGTGGACCTATGGATGGGTTCATGGAAGAACAGACAGATAACTTGCCTACTGTCTGCATGGGTCTGAGGAAGAGTGACTCCTAGCAGGGGAACCTGAGTGGAAACTTGAGATTGCTCTACAGTAATGTCAGTACAAGTTCGTGCTTTGCATTACTTGTCGGTGGGTATTTGTAGCTAAGCAAGTCCCAAACCCTGGCTTGCCCTCCCCTGGCTCCTATTTCCTGCCTCCTTCACAGGCTCATCTGAGCTACATCCAGGTTCAGAGCTTCCCATCGGAATTGCTCTCTGGGTGCCACCTTCAGTTTCCCCAGGCTGAGATAAAGAGAGACTGTTTTGGTCATGTTGGCTACAAGCACAGCCAGAGGTGGGGAGTGAGGAGGTCCAGGCTGGGCAACCTCCTGGCCCTGACATGAGCGGACCAGGGCTGGGCCTGAGCAAGACCCAGAGGTAGGCCTGTGTTTGGTATGATCACATGGACACTCTGAAACAGAGGGCCGAGAGGTAGGTGGCCAGGAGCTGGGCTTCTGGAGGCGGGGCTGGCCTGGCCTAGGTTGGGAGGTGGTGGAGGAAGCAGTGGAGAAGGAGGAGGAAGTGGGAACGGCTTGCTTTGATGGAAGAGGCCTCGGCCCCATTCTTACTGAAAATACCATCTGGCAGGAACATAGTATCTGGGAAGGTGATATGTGTGTTCACATAGCAACGCTGTGTGTGCGTGTGTGTGTGCGCGTGTGTGTGCTTACTCAGTGCGGGCTTCAGACTGGTTGTTGGTGTCTGTATGTGTGTGTATACATGTGCTGTATGTGTGGGGGG